TCCAAAGGTATCTGTATATTATAAGATGCATAGGTAAGTCATTTCTGTCAGGGAAGATTTTCAAGCATTCAGAGTGTGAGTGATTTCACCAGAGGCAGGTAAAACCATCTTTCTCTGCCCTTCAATTTGTAGCAGCCTCCTGACTATGGTATTTCAGAACCCAGTCCAGCACATCACGGAAACTTCTCATATGAGATTACTCCGAGCCTGGAGATTTCTTTTGTGCACAAATCTTTCTACATTGTTTTAAATTATTCCACAAAGCACACTTCAGTTTCTCTGTCTCCATAATGACACCAATTTAAAAATAATTGAAAATAAAATTATTTTTGTTATAATTCATTTCAGTAATGCAGACAAAAGGAAATTCTTGCCCCCCAAACAGGATATGTTGGTAATGGGATGGGAGTCTTTCATCTCTGTGTCCCCGATGCAAATCCAGCCCACTTTTATAGTGCCTGGAATAGGTTTTTTGGGTTTTTTTTTCCCAATCGCTTACCTTCCTAAACTGCCTCAGAGGCAATGTGGGGTGAGAAATTCCAGGAAAAGAAGCAAACAGCTTTCAGGAAAGTTATTTGTAAATATGTTTGCTCTTTGCAACCTATCCAGAGACTTGGCAAGTTGGGTGTGGTCCTGTCAAAAACAGGTTAATGGTAAATAGGTCCTGCAGTCAAAAGTGCATGTTAAAAGGTGATTATGACATAGATATGACTATCACACAATGGGATTTTCCCTCTCCTATTGGACAAGGCATTTGTTTGTAGCTTTGGTACATCATGAGATATCAAACCTTAAACTGTAACACTGTAACATATATATGGAAAATTGATTTTAAGTAATTTTTAAAGATTTCTACAATGTATTCCTTCATTTTCCCTTAGTTATCTCTTTCTTCTACGGCTGCCAGATGGTTTCAACAAAAATACCGGACATACTTGACACTACATCATAATCGACATTACATCTTATTTAAAAAATACCGAACCTTTATATTTTCTCGTTTATATTTTCTCAATTTGTTTCCCAAACAAAAAGCTCAAATACTGGACTGTCCAGTTCAAAACCGGACACCTGGCAAACCTATTTTCTTCTCACTCTGAGAGCTGGCCAGTTAGATTGGATGGCATAAAGATAGCCTGGCTTTACAGGTGAAAGGGTATGAAAAATGTATTAACCAAAGTTTTAAGAATGCTCAAATATGTTTCTAAGTTTTTCTCTAAAACACGTGACTTATGTAGAATACATTGTCTATACACTGTGGTATGGTTTATTGGCGCTAGTTGGAAACAGCTGCCTAATGAATTCTTGGGTTTAGCTTCCTGAGCAAGCTAGGAGTTGCCAGGTGTCTGGTTTTGAACCAGACAGTCCGGTATTTGAGGGTTCTGTCCAGGAAACAAATTGAGAAAATCCTGGACATATAAAATGTCCGGTATTTTCTAATTAGGTACGTTTTATTATAATTAGGAGTATCAATATGTAGTTGCGTATTGCCTGGCTGGTAGACACACACACGCTGCATGAGCCTGTCTACCAGCCTGGAGGGCTGGGGCAGGAGGGAATCCCTGATGCCGGACTCACTTCTGCTTCGCCGGGACCGTGTGTGGGATGGGCAGCGCCCCGGGATCTGTGTGCGCCTGGTTCAGTTCCGCTCCCCACCGGCTGATTCTCTCCCCCTGCTCCCCGTCCCCGACCAGACCCACTCCTCCCGACCCCCTCCCGACCAGCCCTGCTTCCCGCTGGTCGGTTCTCCCCCCCGTCCTC